GCTAGCTCATAAAATCGCAGTTATGATTTGATTTGGATGATTTGGTCCAATTTCATGGTGTATCCGTTTTTGGATGTACTCCTTGAGGATGATATTGTTCTGAAGAGTGCATAACAATCGTCATAAGTTAAAGATTGATCGGCTACGTTGTATACACATCATTCAAATTTAGGGTCATTTGATAGTATTGAAAGTAGCCGAATGATACTGAATTAATTGAGTGAAGGCTTGATTGACAATAATTGATTAAACTTTTCATTAAGCACATTTGCATAGGGTAAGAACTGAACAAGTGACGACTATATAAGGTGATGAAGCAATGTGACTATTTGTTCAGAACGAAGGCCGTCGAGATAGTACTGTTGTGATGCCAGTGCCTCAAATGAATGGATCAAGTCGTCGAGGTTCAGGCCTAGGCAGTGGCTTGATGATGGCTCCGGCAGCCAGCGGACGTATGGCGGACATGGGAAGACCCCAGTCAATGTCAAGTATGGCAGGCGATCGCCGAGACGTCTCACCGTCGAGGAGGACTCTCGACTACAACAACCGTCAACACTCGCATCGAGGTGGAGGTAGTGCAATGGATCGACCGTTGAGGCAACAACTATCATCAGATCGAGGCGATCGTCTTGGCGATGCTGACAGGATTCCACCGCCGGAAGACGACCGTCGTCGAATGAGCGCATCATCGGCATCGAAGAATCTGGACGAACGACGTTATCGAAGCGATGCTGCTTCGTCGTCGTTTGACACAAGGGATCGTGATACACGCAGGTTGAACAACATTCAGCTCATTCACATTCTATTGAAAATTATCTATTGAAATTTTCAGCTACTTCCATTGAACGCTTTTGTTTTTATTTGTGAACATTCCCCAAAAGTTGCTTTATATTAAGCAATGACGATTAAATGAAATGTTTTTGTGTGCGATCGCTAGTTAATTCGTGAACCAATACTCTTCCTTATTCGTTTAGGAAAACAAATTGAATGTTGACGATTATAATGTGATTTGAGCAGTCACGAAATGTATGTCGCCGCATTAAATTGATGAAATGAATGCATTCAATTAATCGAAACTTTATCTGGTTTAGGTACCCGGATGAGGAAAGGCGAGATGATCGTTATCGTGAGCCATCACCACGATCGTCGATGAGTCGAAGGGAGGATATCGATGATAGGCAAGTCTTTTTTGTGTTCATCGCACTTCTCCGATTCACTCGTTTTTGATAGCGATGGGCACAGGCACTCACTNTGCATTGTTATTGTGTAATGTGGATTCAGATATTCGGATCGAGACTATGAAGATCGCATGGATAGAAGGCGAAATACTTCGGCCGAACGGGCGGATCGCCACGATAGGTACAACTCATTCCGTAGATACAGATTGTTCAGCGGTCAATTGAAGAATGATTTGAAAGTCGTTGAAATTTGACAGTCCAGAGTCGATTTCGTCGGAATCATTTGAAAACTTTCAATGAAGTTGACGAATCTGATTTTAGATAGATAATGAATTTAATGAATGTTTGTGTTCAGAGGTGCTCGTTCGTCGACAGCCGTCAGGTCCTCATCAAGGTCTGGTGAACTGCGACGTTCTCGTTCCATTCGTGAATCTGATCAAAGACGATTTGAGGTATCAACAGTGATCCTCTCAAATCAATGAGATTTATAGTTGTGAAAGCGCTATCAAATTTTTAGAACCTGATAATGAATTCAAAAAATCATTCGCTAGCAATGAAGTGAAAATAAAACACAATCCCGCTCTCTTGGCTTATAATTGAGCTAATTTGTTTTAGGAGCGTGTTCATGCTGTGCCTCCGTCTACGACGTTACCTGCAAGTACTATGCATACGAATCGCTTGAAAAAGTCGAGATTAGCGAGGTAAAAACCTCACCATTCAACTATTGCTTTCATCAATTGCAGAGAAAGTTTATTCCAATAGCTGGAATTTTATGATTTGTATAGCTAAGAAGATGATTTTCCTTAACCTTCCGTTGTAAGATGATTTTCAAGTCGATATCTTTCCCAACTTCCATTGTGAGATTTGCTTATCAGAGCGATTCGTTAGAACTCTACACTATNATATGAATTGAACGAGCACTGTGTTTTTGCTCTGTATAATATCAAATTTGTTGTGAAAGTAATCGAAAAATATTCTTCTATCAATGTTTGTCTGAAGTGAACATTTTTGTTTTTTTGTTGTTAATCTCTCTATTGCATGCAAGTTTTTGGATCAGATGAAAAATTCTGTCTCATTGCAAAGTTTAGTGATCAAATACCCTTATACTTATATGGCACACGCTATCCACCATGTGTGTGCATGTGTTCATGTTCATGCTTGAGGGATGTACATTATTGAATTCGGTATTACTCGATTAGTTCTATCCATTAAAATGAGTCGTCGTCATTTTATGGCAATCGTTAGCGCTGTGTCGTATGACGATTGTGTGACGACGATGCTCTCTTGCTGCTTGTTAGCATTCCATTTCATCCAGTCATTCGAACATTCCAGCTGGTTCTTTTTTGTTGTTTAACTTGTCAATATCCGTATAGTTTAAGTTAGAACATCCGATTTAAGTCAGCTTGTGAGCAGTTTCGAACATGTTGCCTTTACAGTGGTTGGTGTGATTCGCTTTAGATTTTATCAGTGTTTATATCAACTCTATGAAAATTTCGAGTTAGATGAGTTCTTGTCATTAATTTGAGAGTTTGAGATTGCTGTTCATTCGAAGATGTTCTTCGTTTGCCCATAAATTACTTTTGTTGTGGAGGTTGGGTTGGGAATGCTAAAATCTTTGCAGATGTCTTGTGAGGTGCGATTGATTTGGAATGTTTGGCATAAATCATTTCTGTCATTCTTTCATTATATGAAATGTTTCGAATTTGTGATTGTTCCAATTGTGCAGTCCGTAGGGAAACGTTTTCGACTTTTTAGATAGCAATATTCCATTTAATCAAGTAATATTGCGGATCTGCAACAATTGAGATAATGTATTTGATTCGTTGTTATAGAGAATTTGATGGAGTGTTTTGAATGAAACGGTTAGTCAATTGGTTTGAGTAATGAAATGAAAATTTAGGCAACACCGTTCAATGTCATCGTCTGAAGACGAGATGCCATCGACTTCAGATGGCCATAGCGGTGAGGAGTTGGTTCCAAGAGCCGATGTTGGAATAAGCTCAGAGAAGGGTTTGTTCCAAAAATCTTTATTTTTTCTTTGATGGAGAAGATTGATTGGTGTTGAGAGTTCACTTTCATGCCCTGCAATCTCATGAATAATTTGTTGCTCATCTCTTTCAAGTGATAATATTCTTCTGGAAGTATTCTTCCGCATTCTGATAGTCTGAGTTATTTGCGATATTGAAATGTGATCGTAAATCATAAGACTCATATGAGTAGCAGTTTTCGATTGTGTATAAAGTAAAGAGGAAGACTTATGATGAGTTTTTATGCATGATTCCGAAAATTATTTGGATGAGTTTGGTTGAATATCTCGATCAACATACTTTCAGATATATTGCGCTATATATACGGGTCTACGAAACTGCGCAACGGCAGAAAAGGTTGCTTCCATTGAATGTTATTCGGTATTTAATTGTTTTTCGAAACGTTTATTCCATATGCATCGTTTGAACTCGAATCAGATTAGTTCACGCTCAAAATAATATGGCAATGAAAAGCATTCCATCGGATTTGCGTGTGTCCTCCGAAGCAAAAATACGTATTGATCGATGTTGTTATGTCGCTCGATCAGCGACAGATAAATGCATTTGCTCTCATGCACGTTGCTTAGAGTTTTTCAACACAAACCACCTCAAACGGACATAAAACTGGTGGTTGCTTTCCATTCTCATGTAGTATTACTGCACAGCAGATGCTATGATTATGGAGGATAACATCAGATTCATTCGACCGATTCGATTTTGTTTGACTTCGCAAACTTGTGAAGCTTTTAGTGTTAATGATTTGCCAACTTCAAAAGAGCAAGAATTGCTGAAACAACGTGCGATTTGCATTCGGCAACTGAACGAACGTTCAACTGAATTCTTTCTAATTGGTGAATTTAACTAATCAAGCATCGAGAGTAGTACCAAATGAATGAAAATTCCTCCTGCTGTCATCACTCTGAATTCGCTCATGTTTATCTAAGCAATGTTAACAAAGGCGGCTATGTAAGATATGAGCAGTTCTGTGTGCTTGAGTGTACGTTCGCCTGATTAATTACGATTGATCTATAGTAAAATCGACTAAGACATTTTTTGATGTGTCCTAACTGCCATATCTGACTAGCTTCATGCCTCTCACACCTTGAACGGCCACTCCATTTCGTTTGAAAACTGGACGAAGAAGATAGTATTAGCTTGTAAAGATGTCTTTAGTCTTCAACATTTAATTTACCTGCACACGTCGACGATTTATTTGTCGTAGTCTGAAAATTTTGCGTAAACACTCTCATCGCTTGTTCATATCGCATGGGTGAACATTTAGTGGAGTTTAGTGAATTCATTTGGTGATTGCATTAGGGTGATTAGCTGAATTATCGACATTAAGCGATTAATCACGTGTGGTGACTTGATTCAGGTCTAGTCGGCAGCGGAACGGATTCAATTCGACGATTCCAGAGAAGCACTGAGGTGCTGAACGTACCACAGCAGCAATCCTCTGTTATACCTGGTGATATGCTTGCAGCGAAAATTCGCACTTATTTATCGGTTCGTATCCCAGAAAATGACTATTGCGCTGTCTGTTGCTTTCTTCCTCGACGTGGAGGAATAATTCTTGAGAATAATCGAATGGAGAAATTTATTGCTATATTTTATGGA